ATGCACAACTCTATGTTGATACTTCGTTCAGTTTTAGATCGCGTACTTCACTATTATACCTCATTCGCTACAAATTCAAAAGATATCATTTATAACTTTGAACTTCTCATTCAGCAGCTTCAAACGGTACTATAACTAGACAGACTCCAACTGAATTGTTCAACTTCTCTAGCGCGAGTTTATTCAAGACTTTTGCAAACTTTTTTCGATTACTTTCGTTTTATTGATTGTACAAACGAACTTCGTACTAGGAGACAAGTTGGCATGTTATCGGGAAATTGAGAGGGACTGGTATTTACCGGAAATTGAAGTGAGTTTACCGAAAGCCTCTAACATTGTATAACCACTACTCGTAAATTATTATCTTTCAGCTTTATTTTTTTCCTTAATTTTCATTTGTTCAGTGGTTTCGCAAAATTCTGTTGAAAAATTTATACAAAATAAATCTTATTATTTTTGAAATCCAAAAAAATTGTATTGTGCATTAAAAATCAGTCGGTAAATTACTTCTTAAACTTATCTCGAAGCGTTGCAATGATTGCGAGACTCACGCCTGCGTTTTTATTACTTTGTGTATTTGATATGAGATTAGATTGCTTCACATATCTTCTAATATCGACTTGTAGCAATCAATTGTATTTCAAAATAATTTAAAGTCGTAAATTTTTACGTAAAATATTCATTAGGGTTTAAGCGAAAATGTTCATTACAACCGGAATGACCGAGGAAAAAATATACTTATCTGCTTGACAACGCGATAACGTGAATTTCACGGAAATAAATTTTGTATTCACTTTCAAGGTTTCGAAAAAAGTGGCGACTGAAAGACACTCAAAGGAAAAATAATTATTAACTGTCAATTACACCGAATGTAATTTGAAAAGCCATATGGTGACAAATATCAGCTGGAATCGCATCATAGTTGGAGGGATACGGCTACACGGTAGACATCGTTGGTTCGCAATTTAGGCTAGTTCTCATCAGCGCACAGCGGGTATACGAACACGCAGCAAGACTTTGAAGGTAGCGGTTCGTCAGACCTCAGACGCGAGAGGGCACAAAGCAAACGGTCGAGTTTAACGAGGGAAAAACCGCAGCGGCCTTATCTCGCGAGGAGAGAAACTCGCAGCTCCGGAGCATTCCTATAAGCCCAGCCACTTTAATACGCACCAATAATGCGGCAGCGGCTTTAAATTTGCGACTGACGGAGAGCGAGTTGCCGGCGGCTGGCCTCTGATTTAGGACGCGCTGCGAAATCCTCCCCCACCTCCTGTGGACCCCCCGAGGCCTATATGCCAGACGCCATACGATAGTAACGCGTGATAAGCTAAATACTGCGACGCCGCGCGCTCGCGCGAATCAGATCCCTGCTATTATCCTAAACCTCTCTCCCTCGCACCGAGTCAGTTTGAACGATAGCCAAACTTTACTGCCCAACATTTTTTTTCCCTTCCTCCCCGAATCTTAAATGTTTAATACCACTTCTTTTATGAAAATAAGTAATGAGTTACATTAATTAGGTTTATCGTGATTTCTGCTTCGATGGATAGAGTAAAACTACATTCAAATACTCACAGCTCTAGTTCGCCTATTGATTTTCACGCTTGACACTTACCTGAAACAAAAAAAGAATAAAATGGTTATCGTTTACATATATTTTTACGAAAAAGCATTTCAATGCTATATGCACGATACGAGAGGCATTAGTTTTAAATCAAAAGGGTGTTAGCGAACCTCTGGCAATACGTCAGCTTACAAAACAATCATTTTCCCAGCAAGTTCGAGGGTAGAAAAGTAGAAGAGAAGAAATAGAACTTTTATGGCTAACATAAGTCATCAAAACTCGGCGCAGATGCTGAGAAAATCGAGGGGGAAAGACATACCTCCAACACGACTTAGGCGTTTCGAATAAAGTGCAGTCGTATAAAGAAACGACATCTGCGACTACTCTCTCATTTAACAGTGACCACTTTCTCCGTCAATTTATATCCAACGCAAAACATACAAAGGCACTTTTACCTTTTCGCGTTCACGAATTTTATCGTCTATTACACTTTTCATAAACAGACACTCTCGTGCAGTATTAATGAGTAAACGCTTTCATTATTCATTTACTTTCAATAAGTCATTTTCGAAGATATATCTTTTAAGAGTATCAACGTTCTTCTATAGTTGGATACTTGATGGTCCTAACAATAAAACCAGCAGATAACATTGAAAAAGAAAAACGACACTTTACGATCCAACACTAAATAGTATACTAAATTAATTGGTTACTTCTGGCTGCTCTTTTCTTTTATTAAGGGCCTCAATTGCGTCGTAAACAGAGTCACTTCTTTTACTCTAGGTTTTGCGGGAATGACGAAAACGAATTAATAGAACTAATGATTTCATCGTCATTAAATAGCTTCAATGATGGATAAAATAATGGATGAATCGTGAAACACAAGCGATAGCGTTTTACAGCTTTAAGCTGAAGAATTATAACACGCGAGAAAAAATAACTTTTTTCATCTAAGAAATTATCATTTTATAATCAGATCTACTATTGCTCAATTAATATTATGATTTTATTTATCACGCGCTCAATAATGAGGGTATCGTTAATCAATCCGAAATTTCCATATATTCAATTCTTAAAAATCCTAATCTTTCATTTCAACATAGCAATATTCACGTTATTTTTATTATATGTTAGTGTTATTTTATCGTTACTTAGTTGTTATTATGCTTGAATGTTATTACATATCTTTTTATGTATTAATATATTTTTTATTAGCAAAAATCAGCAGAGATTGGAATGATAAAAGAAAGGAAATAGTCTAATGAAAAATAAAAGTAAAAGACGACTAATGAAACTAAACAAATAATCAAATATCTATTGAAAGTTTTGTTTATATCGCAAAATAATATAAAAATTTAATAAAAAATATAAAATGACACCCGGTTAATCAGCTCTAAATATGTAAAAGTGAGAATTAATTGCAGACGCGGTTAAATAAACAACTGCTGCAATTATCAGTTTAAAAAATTATATTGTATCAAAAAGCGTACATCTCATTATCATTGGTAATGATTATATTACCAAATATTATTTAAATTGGTGAAAATTAAGCTTCTCTTACCATTCCTCTCCTCAGTGCCATAAAAAATACTATTACTGAACATGAAACGATTGAGTACATTAGGAAAAATTATAACCATACAAAGTTTTTTATTATTTAAAATAAATTTATTAGCAATAAGTGATTTTATTCAGTACCTGAAGCAGCGTATAAAAACTTATTATTAATGAAACCATTTAATTGACGCATTTCAGTGAAATTTGTATATACGAATTTCGCTCTGCACGCGTATAAATATTTATTGAAACTGCACGAGAACGTACAATAAAAAATATTCAATTTGAATTTTTCGTAATATGTTTCAGAAATTAACGTAACTGATGAAATAAGCTGTTTTATAGATATATCGTGAACCACAGTGAATAGCTGCTGTATTCATTAAGAATTAAACTTATAAAATAATTTGTATTTGAAAAATATAATTGGACATTTAACAATTCACAGAGAATTATTGATATTGGTGTATAAGCATTTAAATGAGGCTTGAATCATGGATTTGACGAAACAATACATGGGTGAAATTCAAAAAATTGTAAATACATGTTTTTTGGCCCTAAGTTTTTTATGGAAACTATATCCACATGTCTACTTGATATAATTCGTTAACAACAACCCTAAACAACTTGTTCAGATACTAAAACATTATTTAAAACACTAATTTTGGTCTGCATGACCGAAAAACAAGCAAAAATGTCCTCGTGTCACGCGTCGTGGGCGCAGAAGTATTTGTTTTTCAAAGAAAAATGTATTCAAATAAATATTTATTAAAAATCTACTACAATGATTTTTGAAGGTTTTACAAGGAATCGAATGGTGGGGTGCAGAAATGCAATAACTTAATAAATAGTGTTCAAAATTAAGCTTAAAGTTATGTTTTTTTTTGTCCTCGTGTCATGCTTTCGACATTTTATGGTATAAATATTTAAGAAGTCAAAAATTCAATGCTAAATGATTTCAAATATTAACATTTGTTTATTTTCTATCAATTGAAGGGGTTATTGGTATGATAAGTTGTATGTTAGGTGAAAAAATACACTTAAATAAGATCGTAAAAAAACGTACCTTTTCTCATGTCCTCGTATCACGCTTACTTTTTTTACGAAAAAAAAATACTATTGCGATCGAGTAGCGGGGAAAAGAAAGTACACGCCAAGAGCTTGAAAATGACTATAAAGTATATATTATTATTATATGTATCGATTACAAAGTAACAGCATAGAATAAAAAAAAGAAATATAAATGTCCTCGTATCACGCTTTTAAAGTTTAGTATTTCAAGAACTGTTTGATGAATTTTAAATAACTGAACGGCATTTTAAAGGCGACAGCAAATACTGCAATTTTATGTATTTCAATATTACATAGTATATTTTATAATTTTTTAACTTTATTTATTTATGGTAAAAATTTCTAAGTAAAAAATTGTAACTGCAAAAAAATAAAGTAAAAAGTATTAAAAATATTTTAAAATGCAGAAAATAATAGTATTTACCCGTACCTTTCGAATGCCGTTGGATTTCTTTAAATTCATCAAGTGGTTCCTGAGATATTTAAGTTTAAACTTGAAACTCTAAAAAAAAAGAAATTAAAAAACTTTTTTACGCCGCCGTTATTAAAAAATTCCAAAAATAGCTCGCCCATTCTTGTTTTCTTTTTATTTATGATATATATAAACGTATAAAAAGATGTAAAGTAAAATTAAAAAAAATTTTTTTTCATTTTTAAAAAATGTCATTTTAGCATTTTTTTGAATTTTACCCACATACAATAAGATTTATACTATATCAATGACTAATCAGATACACGTATGCGTAAGCGAGTACGTACGTTATCTCTATTATAAAAACTGAAAAAGGTCGTTAAGAAACAGTGACAATCTAAGCTTCGCTCAACATTGTTGTCAGAATATTGATTCTGATCACTCAAGTAAAAAAGAAGTCATTACTTCAGTACTGAAAATGTTCAAATTTACTTCAATTTTAATAGCAGCATTGTTTGTCAATCAAATTACTGCGCAATTTGACGAGAGGTAAGCCAAACAATGATAAGACTGTTTTATATTTTTATTGTAATATTATACAACAATTCGATATACATGAAGGAATAATTATTACTGAAATTTTTAATGGATATCAATTTTATATAAGTTCCACAATATATCATAATATTTCTTTCAAACGATCTTCAATATTTAAACCATTAGAAATATTCTAAAATTGTGTGCATATAGTTTTATCTTATCTAAATTATATAGATAAATACGCGATTTGATAATCTAGAGATAGTATAAAATTATCATCTAAGGGCAATTGAATAAACGATAATATGTATTTATTACTTTTCACTACTGTAAATCATGATTTTGATTACCGGTTTGAATACAAAATATCTATATTTGATTAGTTTCTATTTAATTAAACCACTGCAATACAATATATTTAATATGCGTTTTTTTTATTTTAGAAGCGTTGATGATATTCCACAAAATCTAACTGCATGTTATGATATGTTGGTATTTTCTCAAAGCTGGCCACAGACCAGTTGCTGGAATTTAAATAAAGTATGGACAACTCAAAAATATGCTTGTAGTATGTGTCAAATGCCAAAAAATAAAAATATCTGGACAATTCATGGGCTTTGGCCATCAAATAAACATGGCAAGCACCCATCTAATTGTAATGATGAAAAATACAACCCGAACTTATTAAGCTCTTCGTTAAGAACCATGATGAAAGAAAAATGGCCAACTTTTAATTTGAAATTAAGCATTGATTCTTTTTGGAGCCACGAATGGTCAAAACATGGAACTTGTGCTATGGCGCTGGAAAGTACAAATACATTACCAAAATATTTTTCAAAATCTTTACAATTGCTGGATCAGTACAACTTAGGTGTTGTACTTGCTGATTCCGGAATCATTCCAGGGAAAACATACAATTACAGTGACCTGTTTACAGTTATTCAGAATACTTTAGGCGTTAAAACGTACATAAAATGTGCTACAAATAACGTGAGGACATACAATAATGTTTATATAAATATTCATTATAACAAAACTTTCTTACAATAACAATATTTTTTCCAGATTACTAAAGAACAATACGTTCAAGAATTCAACGTTTGTTTCGACAAGTCATTTAAGCTTACAGACTGTTCTGATGAAAATCGAACAAACTGCAAGTCTGAGATAATTTATCCAAGAAATGCCAACACATGTTGATGTTTGCTCTAATTAACATATAACCATAATTGTCGACACTTTTTACTTCATTTTGTGAATTTGTTTTAATAATTGATATAGTTATGTTGATGATACCTACATATATTTTGTATGACAAAGGAGAAAAATTCTGCCATTTTAACAAATATACGCATTTGCACTTGCACAATATAAAGCTTGAAGAAAGAGCAATAGAGTACGGCTATTTTTACGCCAGACTTTTCGATAAAAAAGACTTCATGTTTGCTTAGAACTTTATTAAAAACTGGAGATTTCAATTTAATAATTTATAACAATATAAACAAACAGTAATTTTTAAGACTTTTCAATTTTCAGGAAATAAGCGAATAGTTAACCATGAATTAAACAGAACATGTACCTATCATATTAGAATAGATTTTTAGAGTTTGACTATATTTTATTTTTATATTTTTGTTTTAAACCTCTCTTATTTGAATATCTTTTACGTACAATAATATATCAGAAAACGTTCTTAAGTGAACTTTCAGTTTGTCATACTATCAAGATTATATGACTTTTACTTACGATAAATCTTATGAGTAAAATAGTCATACAAAGTATGTTATGCTTTAAAAATTTAGCCGACATAGTCATTTTTTTATGATCACTAACATTTATTTATGAAAATTAAGTCAATGTTTTACTCAACGTTTTCATAATATGTAATAATATCATGAAAAATCATATCATAACCTTTCCGTATATATATTTTTATACAAGTTTTTAAAATCCTTATACAGGTAAGTTGAATATTATACTTACATTTCCAAATACTGCAAATTAATAAAGAATATATTTCAATTTCATCATTGACCTTTGAATTATGTTAGGCTACGAACGATATAAACCTAAAGTAAAAAATGTTTTCAAGAAATGTGTTATCTAATCAATAATTTGATTTGGTACTGTGCACTGAAGCGATCTTAAGGCAATGAATAAATACATTTTCAAAAAAAAAAAAAACAGATGTCCAGATTTACTCGATTTATTAAGCGAATGGTTATTCGCGCTAATGGAGGATAAAAGGACTTTAAACTTGAAACCGACAATTTTGCATTCTGGCTTAAGTGGAGTAAACATGGTATATATACTAAAGAATTGATAGGACGAATGCACTGAAAAAGTACTTTTCAAAATGTTTATCATTACTATAGAAAAATATAATGTAAAAAGAGTATTAAATAAATTATCAATTACACCTGATCAAGTTTATTACTTTAATACTAACTACTGCACGCTTCAAATCAGTTACGATGTAATAGTTCATGTAGATTGTACTGAAAATCCATTATGTATTAATTTGTATAAAATTACTCATTGATTTATCATCAGTAAAAATAACGGTTTTTTAAATACTTAAGAACAATATTTATCTGCTTTCAGCATTCGTTTAGAAAAATCAATCAAGTTGACTTAAATTTGTTGTTTGAAAAAATGTTTATATGTGTGTATGTACGCAGTATATACACGCGAAGTCATTAGCTGCTTCAGTTTTATACGATAGAATTTGATCTATCTGTAAGATAATTTGAATTTCAAAAAATGTGATTTTTCAAGTTTTTCAAATTTGGTTTCTTCTATGGATTTCATTGTTATGCATCAATTCCACAATTTTTTATTACAAAATCTTGTAGTACTTGAATTTTTCTTTAATTTGAAAAAATTTGCTCTCCAGATGATATATTTGCAGAAGAAAATAATTCTATATAAAAATAGCTATTTCTGGTTTTTGCGATAACTGGCCTAATTTTCATTTAATTGATCTGAAACTTGGTACAAATATTACTTATTATAAACTATAAACTGAGTTTATTTTGCAGATCATGCAATTTATTAGTACTCTAACATGATAGGTACCGACAGGTTGCTCTGGATCCATAGCAATAAATTTGAAATATTTGTCCTATCTTAACTTTAGCCACAAGTAAGTTGTTGGAACTTAAATTCTCTACAGATCAAGACATTTGGATGTAGCCCTTGTGCTATACCAAATACACGTTATTATTCAAACAATAACAGTGGAAGTCTGGATGGTTTGTGACCTTCGAATAAACGTCGAGGAAACCCTGAGTATTGCGATCTTATTGTAAAATTCCAGGTGGATAGTTTCCACGATAAGATGTGCGCATTAAAATGAATACCAAATAATTCAACTTTCAGAAGTAAAAGAACAATATAGGTTTTTAAAACTCGAACGCAGCAATAGCTTGAATAATCTTCATCTCTATCGGATAATTTAAACTTTGGACAGATATAAAATGACAATAATGTCATACCAGGAAATGCATACGAAGCGCATGAAATTTATAATGCTATGCAGAGCTATTCGTTATGCGCACCGAAAATCCGGTGAATGTGACATTCAAATATTCGATTATGAATATGCGATTATTCGGTAACGTGCTTTAATAAATTAATAAGCAAGATATTTGACGTTGGATAAAAAGAAGAAGCAAAGTCACTGTGTATGTTTCGATAAGACGTTTGCATTAGCTGAATACAAGGATAATGATGACACAAGTAATTGTGAAAATTATTCTGAAAATGTAGCACTTTATGAAATAGTTATCGAAATGTGAAAAATGAAAGTCTATTATTAATATCCGGCGTTATTAACCGGTTGACTTTCAACGACAAAGTTATGATTACTTTTGACGCGGGCCTTATTGTCCGGAAAATTGCGACATCGGCAAAGTATACTTTACAGCCGTTCAATATGAAATTGGTAGCTGCATTCGGTGAAAGTATTCTCGCGAGGACTCGTAATAAGAGGTTTTAAATTGGGTTCAATAACTGGGCGTGTCAATCGATAGTAAAAGCACGCGAACGAGAGCTGAACTTTTGCTTTTGGTGGTGTTGACGGGAAAAATTTGCGTGTTGCTCGGGTGTGCGTCGCTCCCAAAGGAGGACGGGCAACAAAGAGCGAGAGATGATGAAAAAGCTGACCAATAGCGAAGGTAATTATGCCAGAGCTGGCTTTCTTGTGGGACAGTAACGGCAGCGTACGTGCTCGAAGGCGGCAGCAAATTCACTTTGTTTCATTCGCCTCACGAACGCTGAGAAAGCGCGAGAACGATAAATGAAGGACGTGTATCGTACAGTAGCAGATAGCCTAGCCGACCATTTATCTTTATCTTTTAATATATAGAAAAGAAACAAATTCGCGTGGCTTCGGCGTGCGTGGAATTGCGACAGCTGCAGCTGGCGTATTTGGCCAGTCACTACGCGTCGAGTGAAACAAAGCTTAGATTGTTTGCTGACAAATTGAATAATCAGTTGACAAGTGAGTTGTAGCCAAATGACACGGTTAAAGGAATTTGTCGGCTGATCTGACTAGGATAGATGAAAGGCCCCTTCGTAGACGCAAGTGAGCAAAGAAAAGAACAGGAGATTGAACAGTTGCAAAGAAAGTCGATTTTAAAAATGGCCGCGAGTCGAAGGCTTCCGATCAGTATTCGAGGCGCGAGTCGAAACGGGAGGGACGTGATTGAATCACGCGTGTATACGACCAAACAACCCTCGGGCATTTATACGTTGCCTCCCTTGGCTTTGTGCGGCAGTGGACACACCGGCCGAATAGTTTTCCTTGATACGTTATGTGGCGCACGCCCTGCGCGTTAGATTCCTCGACAAAGCTTTCTCTCGGCAATGCGCCCTTCGGTGCGATACTTAAACGGCATGCCGTTCGGCCATCATTTTAAAGCCAACGGCAATAGCGCGCTAGCATTATTACGGCAGTCGCAGAATAGTTTAACGCGAGAGGTCGTTTACGAGGCAAATATCTCGCATTGTCCGAGTGCACTGTTTGCAAGCTAATTGTTCAGTAATGGACGCTCAACGTGCCGCTCGACTATCGATACGGAAGTCTTTTCTTAATCGCAACGGTGCAAATAAGTGCTGCGCGATCATCGGCGAAGTAGGCGCAACGGAGCCTTCGCCGCGTACGCGCATGGAAGGTAGCCGTCATTCAGGGCGTAACAGCTGTCGCTCCTTTCTCACAGCTGCACAGATCGACTTTTTAATAGAGTCAAGTTATGCTCATCTCCATTATTCGCTAATACACGGATAATAACTGTTATATCTTATGATAAGGCCAATATCCCGAGAAATATTACGGGTCCGGCCGTAAACGTAAATTCAATAAGAGTTGGCAGACGCACAAAAGGTGGACGTACAAAAGGTAAGTATACGTGGCGGTGAAATGAAACAGTCGCGCTTACTCGGGAAATACTGCCGAATTCTGGAGCTTGTCGCCTCCATTCTTCAACTCCTCCCCTACACGGTAGCTTCGAGGCAAGCTTATATGATCGAAACTTATATCATGGCTCAGCTTCAGCCAATCCAATATAAAGACGCCACCACCGCCTCACCGCCTCACCGCCTCACCTCAATATCAAACGATCCGCTTGCGGAGACAAAAGTTTTAATGAAGCGATGGCGACTGAATACTAAGCTTTCCTACAGCAGCGCGTCTGGCATAAAAAGATGCAAGCCACAAGAAGAATCGATCCCCCATGGGGGTTGTTCAAATGACCCTAGGGACGCCAAGTTTTCCTATCTTTTTAACGACTTTTTTCGATACAAAACTCTTAAATTTTTTTACGCAAGGCACATTGTACTACACAGTGTCAAATCAAATTTACACGCTTCACAAAGACTGGATAGAAAAAAATGTTCCAAAATTTGGATCGATCGAGACACAAATTCAGCAATGTTTTATCCCCTCCAATGACATTTTCACGATCAATCCATGCTCGAAATATAAGATTTTTTTTATCAAAAAGACCATCATATACAAGTACATTTTTCAGCACTTGAATGCATTAAGGTTATTCTATCGTGACACATTTCAAAATTCATATTATGAATACATCATTCAAATAATACGATAAATACCTAATGATAATCGGACGGAAATAAACATTTACTCAAAGCTAATTCTAGAATTCACTGTGATAGCCATATCAGCTAACAATAATCCATGGCAATCCCGCCATCGTAAGCTAGTCACTTCGTGTCACTAGCAGTGACATAAAATTGATGAAGGATCAGCAGTGAATGACGATGTCTTGTTGGAAATAATTAGCTCATATTATTTGTAAGCTCTCTATGTTTTAAAATTATTGGAGCAAATTGTTGATGTAATATGTAATCATCTAATTGTTCAAAAGCAAGACAATAAATTTCATAGCGAGATAGGTAAATCGTGCAATTATTATTGAACTCTGGTTGATACTTGTTAACAATACTTATGCCTTTACTTTTAAGTTCAAATGTTCGCGTATAATGATTCACAATCTCTGATGCGAAAAGCTGAACTTTAAAACGCGAGGGGGCGCGCAGGAAAAGCAGACCACTCGGTCGAAAGGGGCAAAGGTATAACAAGCTGGACAATCGACGCGACAAACTATCAGTTGGTATGCAAATCAGGTTAATACGGAAAATCTACCCAATCTCTCGCGTGGGTAGCAGATCTGCCGACAAGTGTAACTAACAAACATGGGACAAAATGCTCGCGCGTATCTTCTTGAATTTATTTGTTAGCAAATTTTTTGGCTAATGCATACAGATAATTTTTCAGCCAATCTCCGTTCGTATTATAATAATCGAATGTTTACTTCCGATAATAAAAAGACTTAGAATTTAAAAAAAGGATTTAAAAAGGATCGAATACGTAAGCCTTCATTTCGTTGGTAAAATTTTCTTCTAAATAAACTTTTAAAGTTATTGCTGTCGCAATGGTGATATTCCATTACTTAAGACACGACAATTTTTTTTACCTATTCGGTTGTTTATTACATTTTGAAACATCTCAATCTAAATATTTGGATTTGTCGTCCAGATGCCTTGATAACAAGAAAATAAGCGTTTTCAAATCGCATGTACCATCATACATGATAAAGTTAAAAGTCTAAATGGTTAATGGTTAAAACAGCTAACATTATTGCTCAAGTAAGGTCTAAAAAAGTATGCTTCAAAGTACGATTTCACAATATTTATAACCGAACAATAGATACAGCTTTGTGACAAGAATCAATACAAAAGCGACGCGTATATAAATAAAAAAGAACACATGTTATTTGTGGATACCTTATAGCAGCAAACTTTATAGGATGCTGGTAGACATTG